TGAGGCCCTGATTCCACATCTCTTGGGGTGTTATATTGTTCTCTCTTGTTCAAAAAAGTTAATTGCCTTCTACATTAAACTGGATTGTATGCAGTACTTGTACCACTTTGAAGTGGACCTCATTAGGAAAGAAAAGACTGGATATTATGAATGCCCAAACTGTATTCTTAATAAAAAGTGCCCTATTAGTCTAGCAGTACTGGGCTTTAGCCTCATAATTCCTAGAGTGATGTTTTCCCAGTCCTCTTTGACACACTTAGGTCTTGGGGTTTCTTGCTGGACTTACTGATTTGTGACATGAATTAGGAAATTTGATAGAACAGGAGGTCCTCTGGGTGTATGCAATGGCCTGTAGGTACTTGATCAGTCCCTACTTAAAAAGGCTGAGCCAATTTGCAGGTAAAGGGATTAACTAGAGCTTGAGTAAGTCCTTCACAGAGGTTAAAGTTTAGCCAGAAGGGCTCCCACCACCACGTTTGTCAAGTACTGGGATGAAGTAAGAACTATACTTCAATTTTGATATTTAAATGATTATTTCAAATGAGGGAAACCCTCCCTAAAACCTCTAACCCAATTTTATTTGTCCTTCCTAAAATATCCATTACCTGATTAGGTACTGAGATCCAGTTGAAGATATACAATGTTAGCTATGCAGGTTGTTAAACATAGTGTTCTGGTGACATTTAGCAGTGTTCAGTAATTGGCTTAATGAACAGGTGTACAAGTATATTAGTTATGCAGATGTTAATTTGCAGTAACATGTGCTGCCTGATTTGGGAGGGTTCTTGTCTGAACTACAACCAGTAAGATTTGTTCCTTAATTAGGAAATCATTATGTGTGTGTTTGTGTGATTCCCACCATTAGAACCATTAGTCTTGTTTAATGTGCTCTAAACTTTGGGAACACTCTTGGTAATGCCATCCCTATGGCTTCAGGTACTATGCAGGTGTCTGGATGAGATCTACCATTCTGTGGGATGCCTTAGTTAGTGCACAGCTGTAGGCAATGCAGAGAGGGGAAGCTTCACAGCTGTAATATGCAGCTTAAAAAAGGAGATGTAGATGCAATCTCCCACTGCATATTGTATCAGCCATTCCCTCCAAGGTTTCGTAAACAAATGTGTTATCCCTCACCAAATGGGTTCACAAACAATTGAAAACAAAATTGTGCTTGCTTTCCACACTGACTAATCTTGACCTATATTTTTTTTCTCCTTTATTCTCTTCCCTGTTGTTTCTGATTCCTGTTTACACTTGGTCCTGGGGATTGCCAAGGCTAACAGTCTGTAAACTATAAAAAGGGACAGGCATATTTAAGCCGCACTCTAGTCATATTTTTATTTTATTTTTATATTGAAAAAATGGAACTTTGCACAGGGTGATATAGCAGACATCAGTACAGCAGCCTCCCAGAATGAACAAATGCTAACATTTTCTCATATTTACTATAGATCTTTGCTTTGAAAGAAATAACAAACTAGAGGTAAATTTGAGTCTTTCAGGGTTCTACTTTTTCCAGTATCACTTTTCTCCTCCAAAATAAACACCATCATTAATCTATTGAATATCAATTACATGTTTTTATAGTTTTTTGGTGTATATAAATATGTATCTATATACTTCAGCTTTGGTATAGTCAATAAAGCAGAAATAGATGTTTTTCTGGAACTCTCTTGCTTTTTCGATGATACAGCAGATTTTGGCAATTTGATCTCTGGTTCCTCTGCCTTTTCTAAAACCAGCTTGAACATCTGGAAGTTCATGGTTCACATATCACTGAAGCCTGGCTCGGAGAATTTTGAGCATTACTTTACTAGTGTTTGAGATGAGTGTAATTGTGTGGTAGTTTGAGCATTCTTTGGCATTCCCTTTCTTTGGGATTGGAATGAAAACAGACCTTTTCCAGTCCTGTGGCCACTGCTGAGTTTTCCAAATTTGCTGGCCTATTGAGTGCAGCACTTTCACAGCATCATCTTTTAGGATTTGAAATAGCTCCACTGGAGTTCCTTCACCTCCACTAGCTTTGTTCATAGTGATGCTTCCTAAGGCCCACTTAACTTCACATTCAAGGATGTCTGGCTCTAGGTGAGTGATCACACCATCATGATTATCTGGGTCGTGAAGATCTTTTTTGTACAGTTCTTCTGTATATTCTTGCCACCTCTTCTTAATTTCTTCTACTTCTGTTAGGTCCATACCATTTCTGTCCTTTATCGAACCCATCTTTTCATGAAATGTTCCCTTGGTATCTCTAATTTTCTTGAAGAAATCTCTAGTCTTTCCCATTCTGTTGTTTTCCTCTATTTCTTTGCATTGATCACTGCGAAAGGCTTTCTTATCTCTCCTTGCTACTCTTTGGAACCCTGCATTCAAATGGGAATATCTTTCCTTTTCTCCTTTGCTTTTTGCTTCTCTTATTTTCACAGCTCTTTGTAAGGCCTCCTCAGACAACCATTGTGCCTTTTTGCATTTGTTTTCCATGTGGATGGTCTTGATCCCTGTCTCCTCTACAATGTCAGGAACCTCCATCCATAGTTCATCAGGCACTCTGTCTATCAGATGTAGTCCCTTAAATCTATTTCTCACTTCCACTGTATAGTCATAAGGGATTTGATTTAGGTCATACCTGAATGGTGTAGTGGTTTTCCCCCACTTTCTTCATTTTAAGTCCATGGGATTTTCCAGGTATAAATACTGGAGTGTGTTGCCATTTCCTACTCCAGGGGATCTTCCTGACTCATGGTTTGAACCCAGGTTTCCTGTATCTCCTGCATGGGCAGGTCGATTCTTTACATCTGGCACCACCCGGGAAGCCCGTTTCTTGAACTCAAGATAAACCAAAGTATAATACAAGGAAAATATGTAAGCATTCAGAAAATAAAACTGTGAACTCTAGGCATTTAAGAGATCTAATCTTCATTTTAAGTAGCTTGTTTATTTGAAAAGGGGAGAGATTGAAATATATTTTAATTAAAAAAAGCAAAAATATGATGTTGCATAAAATGATCATTATGTATGTTTGGGTTATTCAGGAGTCTCTTAGTTTTTAGGATAATCATAATGTATCTTTCATACTGTATAGCATTTTCACTGTATATGTGCTTTCTTAATTAGTCTCCCATACTGGGATTTAAAGCATATTGAATGATTAGGATATTTTTCTCGACTATTTTGTTTGACTAGCACACATTTCTAAAAGATTCTAGAGGTAATTTCAGTAAAATTCAGATAACTTTTTTTCTTATGACAGAAGGACTCACTCTTGGACTGTCATTTCTTTATATAGAGTTGTCTTCAGCTGGAAGTGTTTTGAAAGTTAGGATAAATTATTATTCTGATTATTTTATAGGAAATACACTGGGCTTCTAGATCCTTTGAGGAAAACTTGTGATGATTTTTAAAAGAAATATATAAAAAAAATTTAAAAAGAAATATATTAAAAGTCATTTTTCTTCTAGCAGTACCAATAATTCTCTTTTCTTGAGTAAACATGGCAAACTACTTTTCACTCCTTTAAGATTATGTTTGTCAAGTGTAACTATCTAGCCTGCTTGAACTCTGCATTATGTTAAATTGATCATACCTGTAAAGCTTAGCACTAACTGTTAGGATTTTAGTGGTTATTTTTGTTTGATTTCTATTGTAAGTTCATTTAATTTTTCTATAGTCTGTAGGAAGAAAACAAAGGGAGTCTTAATAGACCCATGACATTCTGATGCCTTGTAGAAATTTTTCTAGATGCACACATCTGTGAACATAAAGCTTAGCAAAAAATAAAAAAAAAAGTACTGTGTTTGTGGGTTACTTTTCCTCTAAATAAAAGAAAAAATCAGTAACTCATTTGTGATCTCCTTAACAAAGATCAGATAAATAAATATAATAAAAATAATAATTGCCTGAAAATGCAGTTATATTTTGTAAAAGTAATAATGAACCAGCAGGATGATGGGCATGTGACTTTATGGTAAAATTTACCAGCAAGAGTTTGCGGACAGGAGCATATCACTCTAGTTGACTGAAAAATGTTGCCTTTACTTTTCTCATATTTTTTCATGGTCCCATTACCTACAACCCTGTTTTTATATTAGCAGAGGTAAACTGCCAACCCAGGAATATAATGGTAGCTGTAGAATTTCTATATAGGAGGGTTTTAGGGATTTGAGATAAAGCCTCCTTCTTATTGCAGACAGCATGTTGTTTTCTACTTTGGTTTGAGAGATGACTTCTTTGAGGGGAGGGATGATGGAGGTAATGGGGGAGACTTTTTGGGGGGAGGTCTAAGACTCCTCCAAGGCACTGTCACTCTTCACAGTTTCAGGACATTTTAACTGTATGGAACTCAAGGGTTACCTTCTGAATGTAGGGCAAATCTTTTGTTTAAAGGAAGCAAATAGTACTAAAATATGGTGAAGAAGACTAAGGAAACTTACTCAAAAGACCCTGTCTTTGAGGTTCCTTAATTATAAGTATGCAAATAAGTGCTAACTGTTGTCTAACTTGCAAATGGTTAATATCTGTTTTGCAAAGTATTCTCAGTAGGGGTTTTCATATGGCAACCTGTTTGGCAGTAAAGTTACCTTAGATAACATTAAAGCAATTTCAGACCTGCCTTAATTTTAGCATATTTTAGGATAAATACATGTTTGCCTTTTTCCTCAATTAGTCCAAATTAGGGAGATTTTACTATATGTTTAATTCCTGTGCTGCTGTAGGAACCTGGTGAAGCAGTAATTAATGTTCCACATTAGGTAAGAATCAGCAATTGATTTTTGGGTCTATTTGGCTTATCTTTTCTACTTAAGTGCTGATATTTAATTTGTAGGGAAACCTCTAAACAGGTCTATATTTTTATGTTCATCCTCTTCATTGAACTAATGAAATCAACCTATTTATTGATTTGGGCATGAGCTTTATTAATGTAGTTCATATGCCTTACTTATGTTAGTCCATGCATTTGGATTAGCAGTATTATTGTTTATCTATCAACATTTTTCTTTCAGTTCAAAAGAATGCAGAAGCTTTAGAAGAAAAGAAGACCATACCTGCAAAGAAGAAAGTGAAAGAGTTGAGAATTTTGGATCCCAAAACAGCACAGAATCTTTGTATGTGATATTTTCTACATAGGGAGTGGTGGTGATGCTAGTAGTGAGGGATTGTTGGATGTTTTTAAAACAAAGTTGTAACTTCTTTGAGCAGGTATATTTAGCATCTATTGGAAACAAACTTCGGTGTAAACATCATTTAGGTTGCCTTTTTATCATTCGGCCAGGATGGACTCCCTCAGCAATTTAGCCTTGGCCAGGCCAGGTGGAACTTTTATGAATAAAAGGTTTTGGAAATTACTAATCATTCTGTATTGTTAAGAGGCCAAAGTGAGAATGAAGGCAGAGTTGAAAAGTGTTATTTTTATTTTCCTTCTGCCTAGACCTGAGAGTGATGGTTGTAGAGTATTCACTAGTCACATTGGTTGAATCCTTTTTTTGCTATTGCTTTGTATTTGAAGGAATTGTGATGTGAGCGAGTTAAGTTGTTAACCACTGCCCTATAAAATTGGTTAGTGAACCTTAAAGCCTTTAACAAACCAGTCAGCCGTTAAGTCAACTTTTCCTAAAGTAGCTGGACAGTTAAACCCATCTTCATTTACCCAGGCATGAAGTTTTTTGTTTTTTGTTTTTTTTTTAATATATAGTCTTCCCTCTATATTAAATTCAGCATTTTTTTGGTCACCACATTATGCTGTGTTATATTCTAAGGATACTGAAACACTATGCTTGAGAAATTTCAGCACATCAAGCATTTCTAATTATGCAAAGAAATACCATGGGAGTTTATTTTGTGAAGGAATGTGCTATAGAGAATCAGATTAAAATAACTCGTCATTTGTATTCTTCTGTCAGTGGGAATGTTGCTTTCAGAAAAGCACTCTCCTAATAATTGTTCTGCATATGTACATTGCTTATCTGACAGTCTATTTTCCTTTATAAAGTGGATGTTCAGAACTTTAATTTTTTAAGAAACACAAAACAATTTTAATTGCTAGTTGATATCTCATAACATTATTTGTTTGGATTCTGGTGATCTCATTTGGTGTTTATGTCTATATAATTGTTTGCCTGGACAGAAAAGATGCTTTTTCATTAGGTACAGTGGAGCCATATAGACTTCTTCGTGAAAAAAACAAATTCTTAGGAACATATTCATGTTCTGGGGATAAGAACACATGTATGTTCTTTAAAAAGTATGTTCAATGGAGGTGAAAGTGAAATGTATTATTGAGCAATGTTTTCTGAGTCACTGAATTTTTCTAGGTATAATTTGTTGAATTATTCCCATATGACATAATATATATCCAATTAAGAAAAAGTTGACAAGGGAAATCGTGATTCAACATAAAAAAGCAACTAATAGCATACTGCATGAATGTCATCAGAGATTTAGAGAACATTTGATGATTCAGACACTTTAATTTTTTCTTATGTGAGAGAACTGCAAAGTAGACTGATAGCTTTTTTTTAAGTGTCAGGTTACTTTACTGTCTTCCTTGAGAGGTGCTGTATTGAATGCCTCTGACAATCTCTACAGTAAATTCAGTGTTGAATTAAAAAGCTAACTTGAGATACAATTTCTAACTTTTCATGGGTTATTTTGTATTAGGTTCATTTAAAATGCCTAAGCATGTAGTTGTCTGCCCTGTTAGTAGATTTATCTTCCATATAAATACACACATGGCTTCCCTGGTGGCTCAGATGGTAAAGAATCTTCCTGCAATGCAGGAGACCCAGGTTCGATCCTTGGGTCATGAAGATCCACCGACGAAGGGAATGCAATCCACTCCAGTATTCTTGCCTGGAGAATCCCATGGACAGAGGAGCCTAGTGGGCTACACTCCATGGGGTTGCAGAGATTCCTACATGACTTAGTGGCTAAATGCACACACACACACACACACACACATAAATGCACACACACACACACATAAATACTCATGAGCTCTAAACATTAGAACCTTAGCTAACAGAAACTACTTTTATTTGTTCATAATTATGTAGATTAATATTAGTGAGAGATTTCATATTTAAGTCTATGAAATGGAAATCATTTATTTCAGTTTTAAAATTGTGGTGCTGCTCTCTTTTTAATAAAATCAACTTTTATTTTAGCTATCTTCCTAGGATCATATCGTATGCCATATGAAGAAATAAAAAACGTCATTCTGGAGGTTAATGAAAGCATGTTGAGTGAGCCCTTAATTCAGGTAATTGCATATTTTGTTTTTAAATCTCATTTTCATGGGAATTTCTGGATTGCTGTCTTCCCATTGGAGTTGTGTGAAAATGTTCTTCTATGTTTGAATAGAGTTAAGAGTATCTAGCTGTGTGAATAGTAAGAGGACTCAACGTAGACAATCAGGTTCTAGGTATGTGTCTGCCATTTATTAGATATGTGTCCTTTTAAGTCTGTGAGCATGTAGACACATCATTCCTGTACACAAAATTGCATATATTTTATCATCCCAATGACTGTCAAATAGATATTGTCAGTACCATTGTATGAAAATAAAAGTGTGCAGGTGAAGAGGTTAAATGGCATTCTCAGGATCAATGGTTAAATGGTAAAGTTACCCCTTGTTAGACACTTGATATGTGCTGGGAATTGTGCCAAGCTATTTATGTATTTTATCTCCTTGAATCCTACAACAGTCCTATGAGATAAGTACTGTTATCCTCATTTTACAGATCAAGAACCTGAGGCTTAGAGAAGTTGCCCATTCGTCACTTAACTGCTAAGTGATAAAGTAGTAGAGCTGAGACTTAAAACAAATCCTATCATGACTCTAAAGCCATTGCTCTTTTTATTCTATTACTCTGCCTCCTTTGGGCAAACTGTGTCAGTTTGCTAAAGCCCTATCTCCTCATCTGAGATTACTAGATTACTATGAGGATTATACCAAAGAGACTGCTTTTTAGAATAAAGCACTCTATTAGATCTAATTCTTAGAATTCTTGGCAGCTTTTGTTTGACCCTGTCTAGAAGGCGGAACTGCAAGATTTTTCATGGATGGGCATAGTCATTGTAGGTTTTTTGTTATTGTTGTTTGTGTTTGAATCACATGGTTTGCTTTGATTTTAAGGTGATCGACTAGTTTCTGCTGTAATAATTTCATCATATGTCCCTTAGATGGTCCCCAAATCTCAGAGCCCCAGTGTCTATTGTTTGAGCTGGCTGTGTCCATATAGATGTTTCTCCATTGTGGAGTGTGGGCTCGCATTCTGGTTCACTTCATGTATGTTTTAAACATAGATATAGTTTATTCCCTATGCTATAGGGCCTATAGGACTATGGTTTAATGAGTTTATGTAGGCTCTATATTAACGTGACGCACCTCTATTAACCTCAACAAAAGTTACACTGTGCTAAGAAATCCCCTTTTTGAAAAATGTGTCTTCTTTGTCTAACTAGTAAGTCCACAGTTCTCTGAGTTGAAATGGAGAGCAGATCACATTTGTCCTGCCTGCCTTAGTGACATGATTCTTTGCCCAGTAATCAGAATGAGCAAGTTAAGAAGCATAAATGCGACTTAGTTCTCCCTCTTTTTTTTCAATTGGACAGTTTCATTTTAAAGTACAATAAGACAGACAAACGTCTGACTCCTATTCAATAGTTGAAGCTTTCTAGTTTTTTCTGTATAGTCAAATTGTAGTAAAAGACGATCATATTTTGAAGAATTAATCAATGCAGACATTTATTTTACCCATTAAAACTGTAGCTTTTCCTTCACATGCCTTAGTAAATAAAAAAGAATGTAAATATGCAGCATGCTACTGTGGTATTTATTTATAATAAAAATAAATACCATACTATTTATTTATCAAAAAACAAATTCCATACTATTTATTTACTAGCAATATTAAAAACATTTATTATTTTTTAAGTCATGTTTTCAACTCTTTAGAGAATGTAAGGAACAGAAGGATTCTTACTTATGAATGGCCCTCTGCTGCTGCTAAGTCATTTCAGTCGTGTCCAACTCTGTGCGACCCCATAGACAGCAGCCCACCAGGCTCCCCCGTCCTGGGTTCTCCAAGCAAGAGTACTTGAGTGGGTTGCCATTGACTTCTCCGATGAATGGCCCTCTAAAAGAAACAAACTTTAACAATTTTTGTATAGAAATGTAATACCTGGGATTTTTTTTTCTGTTTCACTTGATTTTGTAGCATGAACAACACATATTTGTTTTTTTGTTTAAATTGCCTGGTCCAGTTGGGAGGAATGAATTGCTTTGTTTGGAGATGGAAGTAAATTATATCTGCATTCTTGAATTCAACTCCTTTAATCTTAACCACTAGGCAGTCAAAGCTTCCCAGGTGGTGTAGTGGTAAATATTCTACCTGCAAATGCAGGAAACCCTGGTTTGATCCCTGGGGTCAGGAAGATCCCCTCGAGGAGGGCATGGCAACCCACTCCCTCATTTTTGCCTGCAGAATCCCCATGGACAGAGGAGCCTGGTGGGCTTACAGTCTCTGGGGTTGCAAAAATCAGATACCACTGAACCACTAACATTTTCACTGTAACAAGTTCAGGCAGTCAAAAAGACTGCTTGGGAAATCACATTATTATGCTAAATCTTAGAAGATAAGTGAAGGAGAATCACAAAATCTAAGTAGATCCTGCCCAGCTCCTTCTGTGTTATACCCAATGCCTCCATGCATTTCATGTTTGCTGGTGTTGGGTTAACTTGTCTCTTCCTCTTTTCTAGATGTCCATTCCTTTTTTCCAAGCCTGTATCTTTCTCTTTTTCACATCTTTGTGTGTTTTATCACTTGCATCCTTTGTCCCACAAATTTTGTTTTCCCTTTGTTGAAAACATGCCACTGAGAACTTTTTTTTCCCCAGTAGGTTTCCTTTCCTCCCCAATGCCACATACTCTAAAATTTCCTTTTATCCCTTGTCCTTCTCAATTAAAACTCATTTTCTTAGTTATGCTTGTAGGAGAAAACAATTTAACATGTACTTTAATAGTATGCCTGATTGAAACTGTGGTGCTTGGTTATGAGGCACAAATGGTGAATCTGAGTTATTAAAGTTAATATCATGTTTATCCAGACAAATACAATGTCTGAATATCTTCTGGTAAGGAGGAAGGTCCTCGGTGGAAAGAGTTACTTGATTTTCAAGTATGCAAAGGAGACTGTTTCTTGCTCAGGCAGGATAAAAGACGAGAATCACCATGGCCTTTCTCCCTCCCATCCTAGAAAGGATTTGCTTCAGTGATGCAAAAGTAACATCAATTTGATGTTCAAAGGAGCTGTTTATCATTTTTGTCTAATTACCATGTAGCACATAGATAATGCATAGAATTAAATATGTATCATCAGATTAACTTTGTTGTAAGTTCTATCTGATTACATTGCTAAACTCCATCCATGCATAATCATAGTTTGTTGCTTATGTGACATCATTGTCTCTTCATAACAACAAAAAACAATTAAGGACACATTGCTTCCCAGAGACTTGAATTAACAACAGTATTATCTCTCCTAGTATGGGTCAATAAGCTCTTTCCTGCCAGAAAGCTAAGAGATTTTATTTATTTGACAAGATAAATGCCTTACTGAAAAAATAAAAATAAAAAACTTTAATCAGCAAGATCATGAACCAAATTTAAGGTTATTAATAAAAGTACTAATGTCTCATTTATTTCAAAATATTCTAATTTAAGCTAAAACCCAAGTTCACTATATGGAAGTAGTTAAAGATCCTAAAATACTTATAAAAAGCAAAGAAACACTTAAAAAGTACACCATATCCTGAGATTGTTGAGGAGCTTCTAGTATATGCAGTTATGAGTTGGATCCAAATAATGTGTACTCAGTTTAGGTGATTCTTGTTATTATTTCAGCTTTGAAAATCTGCTTTAGTGTAATTTAATTTGATCTATTGAGAGAAAAATACAAGACCAGTAAGTGTTTTTAAGACATCAGTGGTAAAAATGAAGTAGTTGTAGGCACACTTACATATAGAACATTGACCAAAAAGAAAAGAAATTAGCACTTTAAAAAAGCAATTCAAGTGTTGAGGGAAAAATTAAATTGTATTTTATTTTAGAACATTCAGTTCAGTTCAGTTCAGTCGGTCAGTCGTGTCCGACTCTTTGCAACCCCATGAATCGCAGCACGCCAGGCCTTCCTGTCCATCACCAACTCCCAGAGTTTACTCAAACTCATGTCCATCGAGTCAGTAATGCCATCCAGCCATCTCATCCTCTGTCGTCCCCTTCTTCTCCTGCCCTCAACCCCTCCCAGCATCAGGGTCTTTTCCAGTGAGTCAGCTCTTTGCATGAGGTGGCCAAAGTATTGGAGTTTCAGCTTCAGCATCAGTCCTTCCAATGAACACCGAGGACTGATCTCCACATTAGTGCATGCAAATGATTCTTAAATGCTGTGAAAATTCCATTGGTATAGAGAAAATATATGTTTAACATAGAAGGAAGTATAAAATTGCTACAGAACAATGTACAAAAATATGTATAAAGCAGGGGTTTTTAACCAGGGGTTCCCATGCAGGACCCATCAAGAGAATTCAGGGGCTCATGCACTTAGATGTGAAAAACATTGCATCTTTATTTTCTTTACCTGCTAGCTAATATTTAGTATTCCATCTGATTAACAATATAGGCAACAAACCAAAGTGTCAAGAGTATTAACAGGACCTCTAACTTTGTCACTAATAGAAATAATAAATATTTCTTTGTCACATTACATTTGTGGCAGATATCTTGAAATATTGTTTACAGTCATTACTACTTCAAAATTTTACTGTTTATTAAAGCTGTCACTAGGTCTTATTTTTTAGTGACTTAGTCAAGAAGGAGAACTATTATTATGTCACAATTTATATTTGTAAATATGTTGATAACTATTTCCATATAATTGGCTTCTTTTCCATTCTTATGTATTTAATTTTATTCTGAGAAGGGATCTATAAGCTGGTATGAAAGAGTTCATGTCAAAAACAAAGAAGAAAGCAGTACAGAATAGAAAGTTTCCTAATCAAGATGGCAGATACAAGTCATTCCCAACTTCAGCCACCCTCATATTATTCAGAGAAAAGGCACCAGACCCAGGGGTGAGGCTAAGGTACCCTCCTAGGCCACAGAGACTAAGAAAGACCACACTGGAAGAGCAAGGGGATCAGCTGCATTCTGACCACATTGTGTCTCAGCAGACTGGAACAGTGTTGCACCCAGAGCCCCCC